AATCTATTCATTTTATACTTTTCAGACAGATTTTTCCTCGGGGTGAAACAAAGGTTAACTGAAATTTCCTCTGTTGTGTACCTGAACGAATCAGCAGTTTGAGAAGGAAATCCCATTGATGGGCAAAGAGAGTGACAGGCTCTATTTAAAGAATTCCCCTGACTGTGTGGTAGACCAACCATGCCATGAATGTAACTGTTCCTGTGGTCCCCATACTTGTACTCTCCAAAAAGAGAGAAAAACCTACTTTGTTCTGCAAATGTTTTGCTAAGCTTTTAAAATCAGGAGACACTGAATTTTGTGAATTAACATTGCTAGTAGCCAAGTCCAAAGGAAGTAGTATTTACTGCTGGATAAAAAACAAATTAAAAAAGAATCATGCTTACTTACATAATATAAAAGGCATGCCATGTATTTGTGTTTTAACATGTGTGTATACATTTTAATATTTTAATAGCATATATTTTTCTCAGTAATATGTATTACAGATTTTTTTTTCCTTCTATTTTTTTCACTGCATATGTATTCCATACAGAATGTGAAATATCTTACCCATGCTTAGTGATAAGAATATATGGGCTTGAGGTAGGGTGGAAATGGTGTAAGTATGGAAGAAGGTGTATGATATGCCATTAGGAAAATTGTATAACAGATATACTATTATATACAGAAAATACATACGTGACTAAAATTTATGAGTGTCCTGGATGCCCAACATCCAATGAAAAAAGACTAAATAACTAACACTTAGGTTATTTTTGTGTTTTTAAGACTGATTTTAATATCAAAGGCAAGTCACTCTGCCTGTATTGCCATATTTTTAATTCATTCTGTTAAACCTCAAGACCTGTAAGCTTCCCTGAAACCCCCAGCTTTAGCCCTGTAGTGGGCCCCAGCAGTGTATGCTGCCTATATCCTATGAGAACCATGTGATAGCCCCTAACTGTCAGGCGTTTTATTTTTCAGCAGTGACAGTTAAGTCTATTCCCATGGGCAATCACTGCTTAAGTTTGTTTTAAGTTACATTAATAGGTCTTCTTTTTTTTTTTTTTTGGTATATGTGGGACTCTTCAGAGGTCTGTTTTCTTCTTTCTTTTAAATCAGGAATGTTCTTGGCCAATATTGCTATTGTTAATTTCTAAATCAATTGAGTTTTGTTGTTTGTTCACCGTCAGCTTTGGGATTTTTTTATGCCTTTACAAAATGCCATGCTGGATAAAATAAAAATTACTGAAAATAAAATATTGCAGCTATTTTCCCACCAAAAAAAAAAAAAAGGTCTATCATTGCTCATATATCAAGTTAAGAGACCAGAGAATCTTTCCATACCCTGAGAATATTCTCAGACTGAAATTATGTCTCATTTCTCTGTGGAAATTTATAGGTGTCTTTTAAAGTACTTCCTGCCAAAGAGGTAATGACATATAATCTGTTGCAACAGCAGGTGTCATCTTTTTACATAAATCACCTTTTAAATCAAAGTGAAACTGAGAAATCCTTGAGGTGTCTTAAGAAAAAAGCAGAATAGTTGCATTTCATCTCCTTAATGGTGCTAAGTTGTGTAATTGAAGGGCTTCTCTGCATCACTTAGCCGTGATAGACTGCAAAGGGGTCTCTGTTCAGATGAAGTTACCATTCAATGTTAGGACTGGGAGAAACTATATATACATGTTGAAACCTGCATGTCACTGTTTTTCTGGTGTCTTTTTTACTTCCTCTGCTTGACTGTTCTGCAGCTTTGCGAAAACTTTTTTACAAGTGTAAGTAATAGTTCATATGGCAAATATTGTACAAAATGATTGCAATTACAGATATATTACTAAAGGGAAACATTAACTTTTGATAGGCTTTCTCACAGCAACCACAAAAATCGTGTGAAAATCAAAGGTTGGGTTTGCAGGTAGATTGCTGGTTGAGGACAACCACCAAAGGAAATTCCGCAAATATTTGAATGGCTGAGGAAAGAAGAAAGGCACATGAAAAGAACAGAAATAGGTGTTTGTATAGTTCACATATAAAGAATTGATATTTCAAGATGATTTATTTCTTGATCCCAAAAATCAGAATTAGCCAACAGGATGGAATATATTTTTAAATATTGTTCTATTTTAACTTTCTAGTGAGATAAGTTTTTGAATTTTGTGTTTTCTCCACTGTAGTATTTTTATAGTAACAAGCAGAAAGTAAGAAAAAAAGGATGATGCTGACTTTGCTGTGGAAAACATGGCAATTTGGCACCACAGTAAGCATATGTTTTTACTTTATATCTCTGCTTTTTCTGAAAATTTTCAGTGAATAAGATGGCTTTCTCATGTAGCCTAATCTACTAAAGAAGACTAGTCATTCAGCTTACCTTTTCCAGCTGCAAATCACTTTGGAGATCTCCAGCTGGTGCTCAAATTGGTCAACAATTTTCTTCTTCCTTCCTGATGCCAACACGGATCTTTGCTCCCTTCTTCATCCTTCCCTTCAGTTAATAAGTTCGTGAGTAGGAGGCTCTCTGCTCCTGATTCCTGCCCATGGGCTCCTCTTCATTTCATCCCAACTTCCACATATGTTTGGCCGAAACACTCACATCCCCCTCGTTTTGCCTCGCTCCTGCCTAGTGTCTCTGAACTAAGTCAGCAAAAGGGCTCTTCAGAAAGAGATGGGAAGCATGGTTGTTAGTGTGGGGGGCAAGAAAGTAGAAAATCTAGTGGACTTTTTTAAATTAACCTGTTAGGTTTGGGAGGGAATCTCGGGCTGCAGGTTGGTGTGTAGGGAGTGAGGGCAGGGAATGGGAAGTTCTTTGGGAACTTCGCAGAGGTGTGCAGGGTTGCCAGCTCTGGAGACACATAGGCATGCAGATCAATGTTAAGCCTGTCACCCAAGCGGCCGTCTCACTGCCATTCTGCTGCTGAATATTAAGAAATTAAAGATTATGGATGCTACAAACCAGGGAGAGCATAGTGCAAAGAAGTTCTCAACACGTTGAGACTTGTCAACACGTTGAGGCCAACGCGTTGGTATTGCTGCTCAAAGGCAAGCAGGGGGTAGCAGAATGACTTGCAGGAAGTAAAACAGCCAGAAAGCTGTCTCAGAAATGCTTATAGCCACCAAAAGGTTTTAAGTGTATTTTGCTCAACTAACTTTTAAGCAAATTAAATTGCTGCTTGTGGACTTCCAGATAAAATGCTGTTGTCAATGAGAAAAAAAAAACAAAAAATTGCAAATTTTCTGCATGGTCTCCACACCAAGATTTTTATTCCTGAAGCACAGCTTTTTCTTCATATTTCAGTTGTAAGTAAAACCAAAGCTTTGTTCATTCTGTGGTAAATTTGGCCTAGACTTTAGGTCACTGAATAGATTTAATAATGTAATGTTTCTTTCACCATTAGAGCTCTTAAATACATTTTTGGATCGGAGGAGTTCTTGTTTCTAATATGAGAAATTTTGGAAGCACTGTGAAATTTAGGATTTTGACACTAAAGAAGACAAGACTTTGTTTGCACCCAAAATGTTGTGGACAGTCTTGAAAAGCTGTTTCCAGATATACATGTTTAATACCATTTTTTATTGTGTGATCACCTGTTATTGTGTATTATGCTTGGTTGAGGTTGATTCTTCCACTTAGATTTTTGCTCTCCCAAGTACCAGACAAGATTCAAACCACTCTGCAAATAGAATATTTTTTAAACATCTCTGTGAGTGTTATTACTGTGGAATTAGTGAGTGTTCCAAATAAAAAAAATTTACAGAATTTCTTCAGAGCAAATCATATATTATTAGCTCCACCTTTTGGATGAGGAGCAGCAGCAAAAGGTTTTGTGCTTCAAAGCTCCCATAGAAAACTTGTATCAAGATATTGCGTGTTGTGTTCACTTGAGTTGAATTTATTGACTTCTTTTCATTAGAAGTGAGGTTAGACATGACATATTAGATGGCACTAATTTAAATTTCTGGTCTTCTTTTGGAAATCGGTGATATAATCAGTTGGATGAGCAATTGGATAAATTCTTCCTTATTTTTTCTTGTTATTGGTAGTTCTTGGTGATGTTATGCTTTGTGTTAGTAAAATACCCAGATGTTCCAGATTTGGACTGTGTCAATAGGATGAGACACATTGCAGTGTCTGCAACAGTCTGCAAACAGATACAACTTATGTATGTGCCAGTTGTAATACTGTATGAGTATGGGTAGGGTTAACACCTGTGATCATTCAGTTCCTCTTCTAATGGTGAAAATGATACAGTATTTGTACTGTTGTCTTTGCATAGTCATAACATTAAATAGTTTTGAGATAAAGAAATTTTAAACAGTTGTAACAGCATCCATTCTAGGGATTCTTCAGTTTATTGCCTTTTTTCTTATACTTTTAGTAGTCAAAAATCAGCATATGAGAAGGTTATGGTATGACATTTGGTAATTCAGTGTGTAGTAGTAGCGTAAATGGTAATTTACTGGTAATTCTACATTAGCAAACACTGTTTTGAATATAGTGTTACTTAGCAAACAGTCCTAATCACTGCAGTTGACTAGTTTGGCATGCGGTAGTGAGAAGGCAATGGTGAAGACGTGGGGTATTTTGAATTCACAAGAAGAAAAGATATATATTGTGCTGTGTATTAACATTAAGGTATGAAAACCATGAACTGACCATGCAGGTCTGCATGATCGAAAGTTCCAGTGGTTGTAATCAGAAGTTTTCACTTCCCTGCATCTCAATAAACTCAACCCTTGCCTGATTTGTAATTTTTTTGGGGGTGTTGAGGATGGCGGTCCAACAAGAGGAACGTGTCGAAGTTCACTGATAGTTGGCAAGTGTTGATTTTAAGGTGAATCAAATTTGGTGCCAAGAATGTTCATGAGCTTTCTTTTACTGAAAATAAAAAAGTTTCTGTCACGTGGTACTGTCAAAGTCTACTGTGAGTTTTAATAACTGAAATAATCATTATAGTTGAATATGCTGTATAAAATATTGATTTAATTTTAATATAATTGACTGTATTTCTGTTTTCCAGGAGAAGCTGCTGTGGACTGGTCCATCAGTAATAAAGATGCGGAGGTAACACAGACAGCCAAATTGTTCTATGATTTTTTATTTTAGATCCTCTGATCGTACATAGCAAAACATTGAAATACAGATGTAGAAAACATCTTTGTACATAATTTCTGCATTTCTCTGTCTTTTATCTGAAGGAAAGTTACAGGAGGGAGAATAATTCCATGGTAGCTGTCAAGCCTCCTTATTTTCAAACTGGCGTAATATCTCTTTTTGATCGCAGGGCCATTTTTCACAGCAGCCAATTCTGATGCCAGAAATGGATGATCAGATACAGGGTGGGCAGAGGAATAGATTAACTAAAAATAGAAGTCACTCATGCAGGTACCCGTAGCAGGAAAAGGAGAAAAATGGGGAAGGGACTAATTTCTAAAGGTTCTAATTTATTTAGAAATGTCTGTGATACACAAGTACCTCTTTGACCTAACGGCCTGCTGGCATCTGGAACCCTAGCAATGCGGCTTGAAAGTTATGATTTAGGCAGACTCTATTTGGTGACGAGTTAATATTTCAAAAGAATAGATTTTACTTTTAGGAATAATCCCTACATAATGCCTGTTATCGCTTAAAGCTGTTCTCCTTTCTTCAGTATTTGTAGGCTTATTCTTTAAAAAATTACATTTTATTATAAAAGCACTAAAGGATTTTTGGCAAAATTAATTGCAACTCGGGGTGACTTTTCTAAGGGCTTGTCTAACATGGAATTTGCTGCTTCATAATCATCACTGCTAGATGCCCATGGAAGAACAGAAGATCATTGAAAGCATACAGGTTTCCCAATGTACTTTTCCTGTTCTCAGTAATTTGCAGTTCAGAAATTTCGTGAAAAAAGTGTGTTGGGGTATCTTTGCTTTTGGATATTTTTAGATATTGGATATTTGGAAATTGGGTATTTTTAATTTCATAGATTTGTAACAACTATTTGATACTCAATGCATTCTGTGATGTAGAATTCTACAGATTACAAACATCTTGTTTAAAAAAAAAAAAAGCTGACTTTTCTATGTTATAATTTTATTTGATTTAACCTCTGGTTCTTGTACTGGACAAACAGTTAAATAAAGCTTGGTTTTAGGCTGAAAATTGCTGCTTTGCGTGTTTGATCCTCATTTGAGAAGCCATTCCACACCTTTGAGGATCTAGCAGGCCTTCTGTATTCATTTTCTAGTTCTGCTATATCCTTTTTAAGAGGAAGCTCAAAACTTTAGGTAGCATTCAGAACGGATGTATGCCATGGATTTAGACAGTAGATAACATTTTTTGTTTGTATTCTTCTATATTTCTTTTCTAAGAATTTTATTTTCTTGTTTGCTCTTTAAGCTCCTGAGCATTAACCTTACACTTGGTATCTTCTGTTTGCTCTAATATATCTGTCTTTTGCTTTCTTCCTGTATCTCTGTTTCTTTTTTCCCTATTTGCATTCCTCTATTCAGAGCAATATGTGGGACAGTGTTATCCATAGCTTCTTTCTGAAAAGAAGGAACAAGCTAAACAATATAAACTGCAATGAAAAATCCATCTGTAATTTTTCTCTGGAAGTCTTAAGAATATGCTTCCTTGAAGGATGTACAGAAGTTGGATGTTAAAAGTTGATAAAGTTGGAAGAGGTCATTTGTTAGGTAAAAGACTTCCTGCAAAACAGTTTTGGAGGAGACTGAGGGGAATGGGAGCTCCTTCAAAGAGGAGTTCAGCATTCCATAACAATGAACTTAATTCTTCCATCTCAGACTCTTCAGAGAGTAAAAGTTACAGATCTACTGTGGTTAGTAGCCTTCTTGCAGTTCCAGAAATTGGGCTCCACTGGGTGGTTGGTACGATTAGCTCTGAAGTATTTGTGTAAGTTACTCAAGTATCCAAAATTCTCTTGGATGCGCTTTGCAGTTAGTGTTAGTTGTACTGGCATCATTGGAAAATTTCAGTTCATGAAATAGCATAGTGAATAAAAGTGGATCCATCAAGGGAAAGCAAAACTTTATTGCTGCAAATCTAAACTACAAAAAGTAATGCTCCAAAATGGAAATTGGAAAAAAGGCAGTAATTTTTTTCTAGGCAATGCAAGCTTTTCTAGAACAGAATTATCCTACTGAAGCTATGATACATAAATTGTGTTTGTGAAAGATTAGATTTCTAGCTGAGCACTATCAACAGTGACCCATCCAAATTTCCATTCCTGCCAAGCGCTAAACCATGCAGTCAGAAGTGATCAATGTGTTTTTCTCTTTTTGTCTCCTCAGGCACAAATATGTAACTATGCACCTACGAGGCGTACGAGTGTCCGATACTACACAGCTGATAAAAATGTTACCTGTAGAAATTGCGGTAAAACGGGTCATTTGTCCAAAAACTGTCCTATTCCAAGGGTAAATCCAATGTTTTATTTACTCTAAGATGTAGCTGTTGTTTCTAAAGCTCTTTCATGCATGCCATTAGAGCCTATTTGTTTGGTGGTTTATTATTTCATTGAAATTTTGCTCCAGGCTGAAGGATGTATTATCTTGCACAAGATCAGTTTACTTCAGAAAATTATCTGCCTTGTGAAGAAAATTCACAATGCACAGTTCACTCGTGTCATTTTTATAATGGGAAAAAAAATGGAAGTATACATAAAGCAAAAAGAGGCATAAGTACAAAGCAAGGACGTAGTTTTTTGTATTGTAAAAAACAGTTTTAAGATATAATATTTTGAATTTATTTTTCACAAGGAGAGCCTGAGGAATCCAAAATCACCCTTAGCAAATGAATTAAAGAAGAATAAGTAATAAACCTGTTTATGAGTTAAGTTAAAAGTTTTCGACAGGATGAAATCAAAACTATTTTCAAGCAATCCTAATATGCCAAAAATTTTGAAATTTTGTCCAGATACTAATGGTTTAAAAAATATCATAATCTTTTGAGGAAATTATGGCAGTTGCGTGAGAGTCAAGATTTACTCATTCCTACAATAAAGATTTCAAAAATTCACATCTCAGTTTCTGAGGCAGTTCCCCACACTGACTCTTGGAATATTTCAATATAAAGCAAATTTCTCTGTGATTACATGTTACCCTGTGGAAATGTCAGGCGTTAAAGTGATGACACACTCAGCCACTGAGGAAATTGGCTCTAAACAGATGCAATTATGGCCCAAGAATAATTTTCAACAGTTTACATCTATTGCTTCATGCAAGCACTTACGGTCTTTGGTATGAACCACAAGGCAAGTGGCTTAGTGGTCTATAGCACAGAGCGTATTTACAAATCGTCTCAGTACCTTGTGTTGTGTGCTATATAGCTTGGTGGTATGATATGGTTCTCTTTATAAGCTTTTAAGAAATATCATAAAAATAAGAATTCATACAGGGTGTCTAGCAGTTATGCTCTGTGTAAAATATGCCATCCAATTTAATGCTACTTCTTGCAGTATTCACTGAACAAGTAATATAAGCGCATGCAAGATTTTCAATTCTTCCGACACAAAGTCAGAAACCAGAGGAACAGTGAATTTGCAAAGTTAGAACATCAAGTTTTACTCTGTTCACTCGTCTTTCACTAGAATTTCATCATGAAACATAATACCTATGCAGGAAGGAGCAGACATTTATTTGTAGTGGTTTCTTCTTCATCTTTTTAAAATTTTCTTTTTCCTTAGACCATTCAAATTTATTCACTCACCATGCTTCTTTTTGTATTTCTCCACAGAAAATTCCCCCTTGTTGTTTGTGTGCGGAAAGAGGCCACCTACAAAACACTTGCCCAGCGCGGTTTTGTTTGAACTGCAGTTTGCCTGGACACTGCTCTAAGGAGTGTCTTGAGAGAGCCTCTTGGAATAAGCACTGTAACCGCTGTGATATGAAAGGGCACTATGCTGATGTGAGTACCACCTGTGCCAAAGAAGTCGTTCACTGTCGTTCCTGTATCTGTTAAAACTGGAAGCTGCAACAGCCGTAAAATTTTTATAATGCATATATGTGTAAACACATGAAAATGTTATAGCTAGTACTTACGTAGCAGCATGGCAGTTTTTATAAAGGGTGTTTCAAAGGAAATAAACTTTATATTTGTAAATGTCTGTTCATTAATGTAGTTTCATCCAGTTTAGTTTGAGTAGTAAAAAATACTCGTGACCACATCTTACTCATCGTATTTGATAAAATGCTTTATAAACCTTTACAGACTGATTCATCACGTTTAATAGAAAGATTTGGAAACCTAACAAATGAAGTCCTGAGAGATTCAATGTATTGATTTAAAAATGGAGAAGAATGCGGAAAAAAATGAATAAATGTTGTATTTAAATTTAATACTTTATAAGTAAATAAGTGGTTAAATAACTTTGTCATGAAAACAGATATGCAGGTATTAAAATTGTTCAGGTATTCTAAAAAGTCATTCAGATGAAGTGTATATATTTTTGCATCTGTTGTTCATTTTGGAAGAAGCTGGAAAACTCCTGTACTGAAACTTTGCTTTAAAACCTTGCTACGTGGAGGGAGTCATCAGAGAATCTCTCTAAAATTAAAAATATAAAACTAACACTAACCAGTTAACAGGACTCTTTAATAGTTATCCAAAATCTGTGAGGGAAATGAAGGATGAGATAACCAGATTTTTGAAGATAGTATGTAACCTCTTACTTTATAGATGATTTGTAAATGAGAGGCAAATGTAAAAAAAAATTAATCAGTTCCAGGAAGATTTCAGTAATCATGTCTTGCAGGCTTACGTTTATACCAAGAAAATCATTAAGAACAGTAGCAATTGTGTAATGGTTATAAAATTCTTGTAAAACTATCCTTGGGTGCATCCAAGATGGCTTTTGTGAAAATCCCGCCTCTCAAATCTCTGGAATTATTCAGAGGACAAGGTCAATAAGCAAGTGTGTAAACATGATCCAGCTGACATAATCTACAGTTTCCAAAAGGAGTTTGACAAAGTTCCTGACCAAAAGCTGTTAAGCAAACTAAACCAGCGAGGAATAAGAGGTTAAAGGTACAAGGTTTGGATGCATAGATGTTTGGTTAAAATGTAAAAACTGGAGAGAAAGTCCTTGCAGTGGCATTCTGGAGCTCTGTGTTTTTTAGTATATTCCAGCATTACATGGATAAAGGTGAGCAATAGGGTGACAAAACTGGAATGTGTGTGGAGTTAGGCAAGACAATGATGAGAACACTGATTTGTTTAGACTGGCAAAGATAAGAACCAACTGTGAAGAATTGCACAAGGACTGAAATAAATGAATTGCAATAAAATGGCAGATAAATTTTATTATCAATAAATTTGAAGTGGTGTGCATAGGAAAAAATCCAGCTGCACATATGAAATGGGTTCTGAGCAAACTGTTATCCTTCAGGATTAAGATTAGAGTTAGGAGAGATGTTTCCATAAAAATTCCAGTTCAGCGTTCAGAACTTACAGGAAAAGATGGTTAAGTGATGAATTATCAGGAAAGCAGTAGGGAAGGAGTTGCATTTTTAGGCCCTGTCTTCTGCATCCTTCAGCACAAGGAATGATAAAGTCAGCTAGATCTATTCAGTCTGAAAGAGGTGGCACACGGGATGATCTACCAAGAGCTACATCGTCATCCATGAGAAGGCTTGGGGGCTCAGTGATCAATTGTTCACTGTTTCTTCTTGTAAACAAATCAGTGAGCATGCGGCGCAGGTGGATCTCCACCTCAATGCAACCCAGTGCAACGTGTTGTAGGTGACCCTGCTTGTGCGGGGAGGCTGGACTCCAGAGGTCCCTTCCAGCCTCAGGCGTTCTGCGGTTCTGTAGTAGGAGCTACTCTCATAAAAGATGGGAGCAGGTGGTTCTTCATGCAATAGGCAGCGGACTCCTGAAGCTTCTTATCATGTGACATAATAGATGCAGGAAGTTTACCCAAGTTCTAGATGAGACTGGACCAGTTCATGAAAGAGGTATTTGCTGAAGCTTATTAAATAGAAGCTGCATCTAGCTTGGAAAGTTTCTGAGTTGGTAACAGGTGTCCATGGAAGAGAACTGGGCAAAGCATGCTTACGTGTTCTGTTCTTTAAATCCATGAGGCATTGGCTTTTGGCCACAGTTAGAGACCATGACAAGAGCTGACCTAGCATAATAGAGTTTCCATCATCTGTTAATTGTTCATAACATTAGTTCTACATTCTGTTCCTCTGTTACAGTCAGTAAAGAATCATGAGCCTCCAATGGGGTATTTTGTCATTGTTTTACAAGCCCAGTAATTATGGCTGTTCTCTATCAGCCATCCCTTTGTGTGCTTCTGCTGTCCATGTGAACTGGAGACAGACCGTAACTTTCGCTCTGGTCTTGACGTTGAATTACTCCAAGAGTCTTCTTCTGAATTCTCTGAAAACTCTATTGTATCCTTCATAGGCCTGGTTGATTTAACTAACATTGATAATTTACAACATTTTCAGAATAATAAATTTATTATCCATTACATCTGTCATCTTCCTTGAAATAACCTTGAGAATCTATGGGCTCATCTTAGATTGAGTCCTACTGGAATCAGCTAAGTACAGTATGACGTCATCAAATAAAACAACAACAACAACAACAAACTGGTGTGTAGCAGAGTTGTTCAGAGTTTCAGATACAGCTCTGTTTGGCCATATGTTACTCACCTCAGTAGGCAACCTGCAAAATCATTGTCCAGTCTTGAATATGTTTATGGATTTATATGTGTGCATGTGCTTACATGTGTATACGTAAATATATATGAACCCCCATACACATATGCTGAAACACCCCAAATATTAATATTCTCTCTCCAGATACAGCGACTGCGCAGGTAGGGGTCAGGACAATCAATGTTCTCAGCAAGGTACCTCTGTCTCATTAGGTGCTTCTCTGGTTTTCCAGGAGCTTGTCTCCCAAGAGTGGTGTTCCTAAATATCTGCAAGTTTTTGTTCTAGAGCCTTCCACATTAAGCTATTTTTAAAAATTTATTTCAATTTTTAAAAGTTATTTGAAAAAAAATTAGGAAGAATGACGTATTGTTTTATGTGTTATTATGTATGATCTGTTTCAGATGGAATGAAAAGGATAATACTTAGGATTTATGGAGTTAGTATCTGAAGCTGGACAATACCATTGTTCTGAAGAGATCCACGGAAATAAAGTGTTCCAGGGCTGAATAGCAGAGCTCTTGTGAACCTCCACTCCTGCGAGAGTGGAAGAAAAACTTCCTGAATATCACAGTTTAGCAGTGGATGCAAAAGTGGTGGACAAAGCAACATTTTCCTTTATAGTTAGGCAGAGGAAAAAACTGTGTACAGAAATTTCCTGGGTTGCTTGCCCCTTACCCTTTGAGTTAGAAGGCGGCAAGTCTCTGGTCTCCTGAGTTCTTTAACTGTGCTATATGTCTGCTGGCACTGTTTGTGTAAGGACATGTCTGCAGACTTCTAGCTGTACTCCTCTTAGCCAGTGCATCTTCGTAAAAAAGAAAGGAAGTACATCTCAGCAGGCAACTTCTTCATTTATCTTGGCATCTTTTTAGTCATTATAAACCATCCTCGGAGTCACTTCTCTCAGAAGATTTCTTTTCTGGCATTTGTCATTTTCAAAACGTATACTGTCAAGCACTTATCATTAATGATATGCCAGCATCAGAGGGATTGGACGTAGCTCTCTCAACATGGGAACTAAAGTGTCTGAAAGTCTGAGGGTTTTGCTGCCGCTGCTGTGATTGGGTGTTTTTCCTTCAGTTACATTATGTGCTCTCTTTCATTCCTCTCTCTTCTTTTTTTTGTAGAGCCCCTTAAAAGAAAGCAATACTTTTGCCTGTTTTTCCATGTGGCACGTCATTCTCTCAGTGGCATTTTTTTTTTCATGCCTGCTCCTAGCTAAATTTCTGTCTAATTGTAAGCGTATGTAAACATTACAAAGATTCTTTTTAATCCCTGTGGTTAAACACCTTAATTCTGTTTGAGGTGCCAGGAGAATATGGTCATGTGAGCCTTATTATGAGGGCAGACTCTTTGCTTTTCTTTGTTTAAGAATGCTTTTGAAGAGAAGTGTTTTAACATTTTTTTCCTGGTTGTTTTTATTAAAAACAAAACAAAACAGCAACAACAACAAAAAATACAGAGAAAAGGTAATGAAAAATGTTTGTTTTATTAAATCTTTTGTTTTCCTGCGGCGACTTGCATGGGGGCAGCTCCTAACAGCCGCCGCTTTTGACAAAGCACCAGAGGATTCTGTTAAAAAGTTGTGTTTAGTAATTGTAGTCGTCGTGTCAGACCATAACTGACTTGGAGCTGAAGGATTTTTGTGAGATGAGTAGCTGTGCCAGCAGGGACCCAAGTCTCCTGGGCCAGCCGCGCTCTCATTAAGATTTGCCGCTAGCCGCGGCGGTGTTCGGCAAGTATGTGACGTGCATTCTGTTATTGTATGCTTGGCTTGTCAGCCTGCAGCTTTCTGACACTCACTTATGTCACTCTTTATTCAGAGAGGAAGAAGCTTTTGATAATTTGACAAGACAAGCTCTTAAACGATCTAGGTCATGGCCTTCACTGTCTGTGATTGTGAACATATTTCCTGAAAGCCCTGTCACTCATCACAGCTACATTTTCTCCCGGGGAGCCATAGGCCCGTCCCGGTCTCTTGTCAGCTCATACATTTTGGTTATTCATATACCAAATACAGTAGTGGTGTGTGTGTGTGTGTGTGTGTTTTTTTTTTCCCCTTCACTTTTGCAAATGCTAGCATGTTAGTAAGGCTAATCCTTTCTCCTGTGCTGTGTTCCCAGCAGGGTTGTGTTCAAGGGTTCTCTCTAGTACAAGGCAGACAACTGGCCAAGGGGAGCTGAAAGGGAGGAAAGGCCGCTTAGTGCTGTTTTTGTGTTTGTTCATTGTTGTGGAAATATGAGAACTGGTGGCAAGGGCCTTGTCTATTGAACACTTGAGTCTTGGTCTGCTGTCAGGGGCTGTTTAAGATTGAGTGTTTTATTTTCTTTGATGTTCACATTTGAGAATAGGGAAGTGGGAATTAAACAACAGATGCATTAAGCCGTTGTTCTCGTAAAACAATAATTAGCACCTGATAAAATTCAATATGGGTTGAAATGCACAATATACTGGCTTGATTCATCTGGTGTGGCAAACATAGTTGGTTTGTGTTTGAATGGCGTGAACAATAACCGTTTCAAATTACTGAAATATGGGTTACAATAAAAATGGTATTAATTTTGAGAAAAAGAATTTCGTAGAATTTAGAAAAGGTGTAGAGGTGTAGTTAAAGGTATTGGAAAGTATGCTTTATGTTTTGTGAAGCTGTAGAGTGGTGGTACTGCTTTTAATAGTAGATACCTTTTGTGTTCATACATCTAAATGCTAGTAAGGTCAGACCACTGGGGCAGGAAATAAATGCAATTTTATTTTAATGTAGTTCATCACACTACCATTATGCTTGTATACCACAAGAGCTTTTCTTTAAATGAGGGTCATTCATGGTTAAGTACTTTTAAATAAATAAGAAAAATCACAGATTCAGTTGTTGTTGTATTTGGTTATGCTCTCTTCCACAACAAAGCGCTTTACTTCATTTGAGAAGCCAGTATTTGGTGATAATTGTTAATTATATTTTTGTCATTCCATGATAAAAAATACAGACAATAGTTCTGAGTCGATGCAAAATAGTAAGATTGCAAGTTAAAAGCATCATTTTTTAAAAGGCCGTTGTTTAGCCACACAACCATTTTAGACTATTGTGTTGCACTGCTGAAGTTTTTTACGTGCTCATTGTGATTATGAAAAGTATTACATTGAATGACTGCCTGAATGAAGAAATATGCTTGGCCAATTTTCCTTTGGCTTCCTCTTCCTGTCTAGCTTAAGTTTTCCCACAGCCTTAAAACTAGCTTAAATATGATAATAATAAAACTTTCCTTTTGATAGTGTTGCTAGTGTCTGGGATTGTTACCCTTTGAGTATTTTGTTAAAAACTCTAAAACTCTGCCAAATGTAGTTTCCTATTCTGAGTTACAGATTTTTTCCATAACTTACATCATTATGTCTGGATAAAGAAAAAAAAAAAAAGCACCAAACTATTAAAAAATCAAATGTTTCTTTTCTTTAATAAATAGTTGCTGTGTAAGTAAAGGTCATATGGCAGAGTGGCATTTTGCCAGTGTATGACAACTCATTGATTGTGATTTTTCAACCATATTAGTCAGGGGACACTGTGGTAATCAAAAACTATCCAGAACTAATGTATAAATAACTGCCTGCTACCCCTGCACTAAACCAGCTGAAGTGTTGTGTACAGTTGCAGTCCTTTATGGCTTTGAGGAAGAAGGCAATGCCTTTCACAGAATTTTTGTTATTCAGAGGAGAATGCTTATGTATTGCGTTTGAGGATCCTTTGCAAGTGCCAGCATAGAATCCATTTTGGCAAAGGAAGAAAATGCTTTTGTTTGCATTCCAAGACAGCTTCCTTATAGAAATCTTAATGTAAAACTTAAATATTTACTTGCGATATTTGAGTAAGAGGAGATATGCTGAGCCATTGCACAGAGCAGATTGTAGATTTTTCTGCAGAAAATTATGTTACTGACAGAATGAATAATAAATAATATAATTTCCATCACATCCGGGGAAAACATACTGTATATGCCGGAGGGTGACTGTCAAAAATTCAGATTATTTTTGAGAGATTTTGTTGCTGATATTGGTTGTTGTTACTGTTTTTTTTTTTTTAATTAGCATGCTCTGTCATATAAAAGAAGGCAAGAATTTAGGCATGAGATGATAAATTGTCAAAATTGTAAGAAATGTTAATAATAACAATTTGCAAGTATTCATGAGACTTCAGTATTTGAAATTAGAGCTAAAACATATTAAATAGAATCCACAGAATAACTAATATTTCTTCTTGTTATATGAAAAACTGTTTGTAATTGTTCAAATGATTAAGAAGTTAATTTACTGTGTTTTAAACAAAACTGGAAGACCTTCACTGAAGTAACTGTGTACACATGTGCTGAAATGCTAACAGACAAAATATAGCTGTAGCTGTTTAGAATTTGAGGCAGAAGTATAGGAGCAGACAGAAATAATGTTAATTTTTAAAAAATATTTTTTAAAATTGAGCAAATATCCCTGTCTCACAGATCATTAACACGCTCTTATTTTGTTAAAGACATTTCGCGTTTCCTCTTTCCTGTCTCTTACATATTCTTCAGGTATATTGTAGAATAGTTCTGACTGAAAATCTGCCCTGTAAAATTTAATTTACAGTGGACTGAAATCTCAAGTTTGTGTGCAATATTGGCAAGGTAAGAAGAAAAGAAAAAGATCAAGGAAACCATTGTATAAATAGAAACATTATAGCAATCTGTTATGCTCCTTGTTTACAACTCATCTGACATGAGGCTACTAAGGATTATTACATGTAACAATTATATTTTGATTAGGACAGAGATATGTACAAAAATAATAAAATGATTCTATTCCTTCCTTAAAGGAAAGTACCCTGTGATTTAATTTCCAAAGTACTTTGTAAATTTAGAATTTTAGAAAATGTAGAATTTCAATTTGTTTTTGTTTATTTTACAGTATTAATACTTCTTAAGAGTTAAGGGCATGTTATTCTCCCCAACTTATAACCTTTAGAGAAGAAAGGGAGAGAGAAAACTGTTACTGGCTTTCTGACAATGGCAGGGAGTGTGTTAAACCAGTGTAAAATTCAATTAAACTGTCTAGCCAGGTTTTTGAAGCTGAAATGCAGACCCTTTCAGTTAAGCTTCTTATTTTCCTGTGACCGACACCGGTGGATACTGTGTTATGCCAAAACCAACAGGCTGTAAAGCACCTTGTTTCATGCTCCTAGCTGATCAATATTTTTATTTTCCAGGCTTGCCCAGAAATATGGAGGCAGTATCACCTAACAGTAAGTAGAAACACCGTTTTTATTTTCTTCTACACCCATTCTATTTACTCTTCTGTGAACTGCTGACCATAAAATATTGACATGTATTTTCTGCAAGAAGATAATAAACATCTGAAGAGTTTTTGAACTGAAAAATGCAACAAAACACTATCACTATTTTTAAACATATTTAGAGCTTCTAATTTGGTTTTAATACTAAAACCATAGAATGCATGTCTAGCAGGACACTGTCCTGTAAGTGGCTAAATTTACTGTACACTTATTAAGAAGGTTAAATTTTAACTTGAGATATGTAGTAGAAGCAATGGTCCAATCTCACGTATCCTAGATTCTGTTTACTTATTATTATATATGAAAAAACTTTCCTTTTAAGTAACAGAAGAAATTTTAGTCAGTTAATTTTAGAAATAAACGTTACAAAGTTTTGTAGATAATTTCTGGTCAGGAGGAAGATAGTTGTAACTTCTTCTTTGGCCTCTATTAGTTGATCCTTATTCATTTAAAAAACAAAATTTAATTTACTGAAGTGTACCATTGTAGTATTAGAGCTTTTTTATCATATGTAAAATAGAGATAAAAATAAAGCAAAATACTTAGGTTGAAACACTAGTTAGTTCAACAAAACCATGGATTTATATCACAAAGCTCTAATGTATTCCTTTTTAAAACAATTATACGTCATGTTCTTTCAAATGAGCGATATTGTTGTTCAGATGAATATTTTCCCTCAGAATATCCAAATCAGGGTTACTGTGATGAGTAATGTGCTTAACTGTGAGATAGTAGTAGTAGTTATATCTGGAAGACAAAGTAGTAAAGTTTGTCCACAACTTTTCATTTCAATTTCTTGGTGTAGATTTTTCCAATTAAGGAACAAGTGTTAGAAATACTTTCTAATCTCTTACCTTCACCAAGTAGTGAAATAGTTTCTTTTTTTCTTTTCTCTTCTGCTCCTAAATTAATGAAATTAATTAATTTTAATGAAAACTTTGTACTAAAACATTTTCTTTTGTCTTATTTCATGATTTTAAAACAAAGATCTGCTTTGGAAGTCTTCTGCTCTTTCTGAGCAGATAGTTTTGTCTTTAACTAGGTTGGTATAGACTTCATAAAAAATAATATGAGCAATAGGTGCACTTAGTCTTTTTCTTAAATGTATGAGGGAAAAGGGTAAATATTTTCTTTCATTATAATCAGAAGTATGTGTAGAAATTATTTCTAAAAGTGTTATGATATTTAGAATCTAGTAATGAGATAGGCATATTAGATGAAGTAATATGATGAAATCTCTTCTTTTTTAATGGTCTGTAAAATTTAATTTTAATCTTCCTTGCCATCAAAAATTCTTCAAAAAGCAAATTACAATCAATATTTCAAAGTATGTATTTTTTTTAAATATGAAGGATATGATTCCTTCAAGGAGTTAGTATGAGGTAAAAAATTTTAGCAATGAATGCTGTAGAAAGTGTTCTGACTTTCTTCTTTCTCAGCGTGAAACTAACATTTGTCAAAACAAGTTCTGCAGAAAAAATTGAATTGTTAGGAATATAGTTTATGAGTAAAAATATCAATTTGGAGCTTTCTGGTGGTTTTCGTGAACTATTTCGAAATATGTTTAAATATAGACATACCATGATAAATTTAGCTTCTCATTTCGTGTGAAAAAGAGTTTTTGTTTTCAATAAAGTCCAGGTTATCTGCTGGTAATACCAATTTGTGGTATTTCAGAAATACTTTGAATTTAGCCATTGAAATTCCCATTAGCTTGGAAAAACTAATTTTGACACAATCTGAGTTGCATATCGATTAAAAGTAGGATTTCAAATTTTGAGTGGTAAAAGACATACTTGATCTTTAAAATTTAATATTACAAGAAACATATTTTCTGAGTAGTTTAAATATTTGAACCCTAGCTTTTGTTTTTCCACTTAAGTATGCTCTTTGACACTCAGAAAAGAAGTAAATAGTGTTCATTGTTCATTCAATCTAGATTTCTGTATAGAAAAATATTTACTGTATATTTATTATAGCATAGTAGTATTTCAATACAGAAATTATTTTTAAAATTCTCCAGTTTAGACCTAATATTTCTGTACAACGGGATGACTGTTCAATCAAAAATCAAAGAACTGGGAAAGAATAATTATGGCTGTTACTTTGCTCTATAGAATAACCTCACTGTAGCAATCAGACTAAGACCAAAATGAAATTTGCTTATGCTTTAACCATAGACTCAACTAGATTTAAATTGATTTTGGTAAACTGACCATGAGTATCACACATACAGGCACCTATGTGCACAAAAAAACAATGCATTCAAGTTTTTAAGAAAAACACATTTTTGTTATGCTATTTTAAAACAGCCATTGCAAAGTCTGTCTAAATGCTTGTGCATTATTTAAAGCATTCTTAGTTAATTACTATGAATGCTTGTTAAAAACAACGGGATTTAATACTTTCTCTTTGTGAAGCTTTTGGTGATTTTATTCGTTCTGTGGCTCTTTCCTAAGAGATGGACTGCCATCTATTGACTCCTTACAGCCCCTGCACTGAAACACAGATTCACCACAAACAATGACCCAATAATAAATCTATTCTGCTGTTATGGATGGTAATTTTTTTTTGTTTGCTTGTTTACGCTAGTATGGTGGCAATTTTTGGCACATTACAAATAGGTCATAATACGGGAAGAAATGTCTTGTTCTAACGAAAATTGACTGCCTGTAGAAGAAATCTTATGAGCAGTTGAAATGGCAAAAAGGTTTATAAGCAGATTATTTTAATTTGTTCTTTGATAGGAAAAAGATAATCATATTGTATTCAATGAAGCTTAAATTTAAAGGCTCTATAATAATCAAGATTTTATAACTAGATGAAGTTAATTTCTTTAAACTCGTTCTTTCAACTCTGTTAACTAAAATTCCACAAAAAAACAAAGTCAGAAGAACAATCCAATTCCCACTGTGTGTTAAAATAATATTTAATAACTCTTTAGGATGCTGATTTAAAACTACTGCAAATTATTTTCATTGTGTCTGCTCTGTATAATATATTTCTCATTTAGCAGAAAAGAAGAATAACCTGTCGTGAAAACCTGCGTTTTCCTTCATATAAATACCAGCTTACATTTAGTAAAGAGGTTATTAGCAATTTGAAAGAAAGAAAACACAAAGACTTCCTTTACAGATCTAGAATAAACAGTTTTGATATATTTAATAACATGTAGATAATGATAAGTGTATTTTTTTTCACAGTGAAGGAATTTGAAGTGTACCAAAGAAGGTACTCTTTATTTTAGGTTACTAAAGCAGCGTAGCATTTAACTTTGTTTTTCTAAGTACCAGATGCTCCACAAATGCAGAAAAAAATATGGTATTTGCTGAAAAAAAATGCCATCTTGCCCTTTTTCCTGCATTCTAAGGATAATAGAAATATTCATAATAACACTTTTTAATACTCATAATCTTTTACTTTTTTAATTCATTTTTTCCTTGTGTTTTCAAATTTCAAGTATAAATGTAGATGTAAACATTATTTTATTTGTTCTCAAGAACAATATATTTTATAGCCATTTACAAAATATAAATGTCAGAGCATAGGCTTTTTAAGGCACCTTCCTTAGGTTACAGCTTTCTTTTTGACAGTTTTGGACTTAATTCTTAAAAAAAAATATCCCTGTGTGTTTGATTTGATATATGATTGCCTACCTTTTTTTTTATCTTTTAGCAGCTCCCATTTTAAATAAATCTTTGTATCTTAAAGGAATAAAACAAATCTACCGTTCCCTAACCTCACATATTCATTGCGGAGTATTTGGTGGTGAATTCTGGAAAGCAAAGCCTTTCTGAAGTTCTAGAAAATGTATGACTAGATATGAGAAATGCTTAAATAGGACTGCTTTTTGGTAAACAGAAAAATCGGAACTGACCTTGTGTGGGAGGGTCTTTTAGTGGAAGAGACCTTGTTTCCAGACCAGGTCTCATTCTGTAGGTAGTGCCCTAGATTTAGCATTTTATGTTCCTGATAAAATTGATGGTAGCTGTCGTGGTGTTTTCAGTTATGAACTCGAATTTCAGCCCAAAAGATGACATCATGGGAAAATAAAAAGGAAATATATTTTCAATACATAGTAATTTTTGTTTTCTTTCAGTTGCAAAACTGTAGAAAATATATGTGCTTTTCATATGAAACTCTCCGAAGAGCAACTTTTGTATCTATTCTATATCTTAGTAGTAGATTAAGGTACCAAGAAAAGATCAAAATGCCCCCTTGATAAATTGATATAAAATAAAATATGTACTGGTTCTATGTTTATTTGCCCATCTATGCTATACTTTTTCAGAATTCCAAGGGATGAATTGTATGCAGAATTGAATATAGGAGGTCTAGCTCAAGAGTAAAACATAGGTACAATAACTAGATAGGAATTAGTATGGCAAATATTGGCGTGTTCTTCAGTAAATAAATAAATATTCGTGAAATTCCATTCTTATACTGGACAAAGTATAGTTTCTATTTTCTTTTTTTTAATGTTTTTCAAAATACATGCGTATGTTAAAAAAACAAATGCTAATATTTTCGCGTTGTCTCTTTCCATAAGGATTCCTCATGTTTAATAACCTCTCCATCCGCTTGTCCTAACTATTCTAGCAGTAAGGACCCCTTCCCCCATCTCCTGCCTTCCCTGGTCTCATTTATATTGAAACTCGTAGGTCAAGATGGCCACCAACAGAGTTTTACAACCATCAGAATTTTAACTAGCAGAAGCTATCATTTAACATGCTTTTTGACAGTTTGTTAATCTTACTTTTAATCCACTTACATAAAAAAAGGTGAAACAGGAATTGGCTCTTTTGGCCTCTATGCATAAAAGACACGAACAGACAATGCATCTTTTGTGTTTAAATTTTGCGCTCGGGTTTCTTTCTATGCCATTATTAAAATTTCTCATGGCCTGCCACTTTTTTTTTGGAATAAAAATGTAAGTAGTGTTTTTTAAT